ACCACGATCAAGGCACAAGCCTTATCCGACTTTATCGCTGAATTCACTCCGGCTATAGCCATTCACCATGATGACCAACCATGGGTTCTCTACATCGATGGTTCCTCGACAGCAAACCGAGCGGGCGCAGGGATAGTTTTAGCCGACCCTGAAAGCCGGTTATTTTGTCACTCGGTGAAGTTTCTTTTCCCGGCAACCAACAACACAACTAATACGATACCCGTATACTACACGTGTACTTAATATATAGATATTTATACAATAGACAAAGTAAAATGATTTACATTTTTATTGTAAATTATGTATAATGAATAGGCAAAAAATAAGGAATAACTAACAAAGTAGTAATTAATTTAAAATGAGCCTATTTTTTTTACTTATTTTTTTTATCTAAAATTTATGAAAAACACATCAAAATGGTTATTTTATGGTGTTCTGCTAAATTAAGTTTTTATTACATTTATTAAAAAATAATTTATATTGTATTTGTATTTTTATAATTATATGCTTGGTATTGACACAGGTATATGTTCGGTTTTAGACTTGAGAATTACCATAAACTATTTTAAGTTTTTTTTTCTCAAGTTACCATATACTACTCTTACTCTTTCTTATTTAATTCATATAATAATTGTTATAATAAATATGTACTTTTTTACTTATTAAATATTATATTTTTTTAATTTTATTTTTTATATGTTATATCTCAAAATAATCTTATTTTAATTTCTTCGATTTGACATCCATATTGCATATTTAGAATGAAAAATAATTACATCAATCATTATAAATAAAACAATATTTATTGATAAAATAATTTCAAAAATATGAATACAACATAAATTATTTTATAACAAATATAATAAAAATCTAAATCAGTAATACCCCATAAAATAATCATTTTAATGCGTTTTATTATATATATTAAATAAAATAAGAAAATTAAGTAGAAAAATACAGACCCCATTTTGAATTGATTATTTCTTTGTTAATTATTCATTATTTTGATAAACTCATATTTAACCTCCTTTGTTTATAAAAATTAAATTGTATTTATTAACTTAATAAATTATATTAATTGGCATATTTACCAATTTAATTGAAAACTTAGACCTAGGATTAATTTTTGAATTAACATTTTGTACTTGGAATTTCACCAATTTAACTTGGTGCTTAAAATATTAAATTTAAGTACTTGGATTGAATTCTTGAAACTTAGAATAATTTACTTGCTATTTTTTGGGACTAAAGTCGAGCAATCTCATAGATGAATAAAATCGGGGCGTTACATAATCCATTTTCGTTGAGTCAACGAAAGTAGGTACTAATTGAATTAAACTCGGTACTACAAAGAAACAAATGTGGTACTATTATAGGTAAAATTGGTACTGTTTTAGGTACTACAAAGAATCAAATTGGTGCTATTATAGGTAAAATCGTTGTTTTTATGTGTTCATTACAAGTGATACTAAAGACTCAATATCATGTACTACAACAATATAAAATTGGTGTCATCTTACTCTATGTTTGGTACTACTTTTTGTAAATGTTGACCAAAATTGAAATAATTTATTTTCGTTCACAAAAGTAGGTACTAATCGATAAAAAAGAGGTACCACGTTGAAGAAGATGCGGTACTATTTTGGCTAAAACAGGTACAATTTAAAGAACTGTGATTTCTAATCCTTCATGTCTACCATGACACGTGAATCGTTCACGCGTGATTTGAATAAAAAATAGTGGAAGTTAAAACATATAGGTAGAATTTGGAGTAGTCATGTATGATGATCATATGAGATGAAGTGTGTCATCAATGAAATGAAGTGTATTAGTAGTGTTTTCTCATTAATGTGTCGAGCTCATGACCATTTTACGATTAAACTTGATTAAAAAAATTTTAAATTTTATATAAACTAATGTGAGAGTCATAATGGGTCATATAAACATCATTAGATAAAAAAATTCGGTGTTTTTTTATGTTCGTCGGAGTTGGTACTAAAGACCCGATATCTGGTACTAAAACACTGAAAGCTGGTACTATCTTACTTTAGGTTTGGTACCAATTATTGCAAATGTTGACCACAATTGAATAAACTATTTTCGTTGACCAAAACTTGGTACTAATTGATCAAAAACAGGTACCACGTAGAAGAAGATGTGGTCCTATATTGTCTAAAATAGGTACTATTTTAAGAATTGTGATTTCTCTAATCCTTCATGTCTACCATGACACTGGATCATTCACACGTGATTTGGATGAAAAATAGTGAAAATTAAAACATATAGGTAGAATTTGGAGTAGTCATGTATGATGATTCTATGAGATGAATTGTGTAATTCAATGAAATGAAGTGTATTAGTAGTATTTTCCCATTAGTGTGTCGAGTTCATAACCAAGTTGCAAATAAACTCAATTATAAACATTTTAAATCTCATATAAACTAATTTGAGTGTGATTATGGGTCATATAAACATAATTTGGAAACGAAATTCGGTGTTTTTATGTGTTCATTGCAAGTGGTACTAAAGACCCAGTGTCAGGTACCACAAAAATATAAAACTATTACTACCTTACTCTATGTCTGGTACTACGTTTTGTAAATGTTGACCAAAATTGAAATAAACAATTTTCGTTAACAAAATTAGGTACTAATCGATAAAAAACTGGTACCACGTAGAAGATGTGGTACTATTTTGGCTAAAACAAGTACTATTTTAAAAATCGTGATTCTCTAATCCTTCATGTCTACCATGACAAGGTGATCGTTCACGCATGATTTGGATGAAAAATAATGGAAGTAGTCATGTATGATGATCCTATAAGATGAAGTGTGTCATTCTATAAAATGAAGTGTATTAGTTGTGTTTTTTCATTAGTGTGTCGAGTTCTTGACCAATTTGTGATTAAACTCAATTGAAAACATTTTAAATCTCATATAAACTAATGTGAGAGTGATTATGGGTCATTTAAACATCATTTGAGACCAAATTCGGTGTTTTTATGTGTTCATTACAAGTGGTACTAAAGACCCAATATCAGGTCTACAACAATACTAAACTAGTACTACCTTACTCTATGTCTGGTACTACTTTTTGTAAATGTTGACCAAAATTGAAATAATCTATTTTCCTTCACAAAAGTAGGTACTAATCCATTAAAAACAGGTACTACGTAGAAGAAGATGTGGTACTATTTTCCCTAAAACAGGTTCTGTTATAGGAATCATGATTTTTTTGATCTTTCATGTCTACCTTTTCACGTGGATCGTTAACGCGTGATTTTGATGAAAAATAGTGGAAGTTAAAATATGTAGGTAGAATTTGGAGTACTCATGTATGATATTTCTGTGAGATGAAGTGTGTCATTCAACGAAATGAAGTGTATTATTAGTGTTTTGTCATTAGTGTGTCGAGTTCACGACCAATTTGCGATTAAATTAAATTAAAAATATTTTAAATATGTGAGAGTGATTATGGGTCATATAAGCATCATTTGAGATTATGTGTTTTTATGTGTTCATTACAAGTGGTATTAGAGACCCAACATTAGGTACTACAAAAATACAAAACTGGTACTATCTTACTCTATGTTTGGTACTACTTTTTGTAAATGTTGATCAAAATTGAAGTAATCTATTTTGTTCTTTCTACAAAATAGGTACTAATTGATCAATATTTGGTACTGCATAGAACAAGAAGTGGTACTATTATCAGTAAAATTGGTACTATTTTACAAAATTCGGTTTTTTTTTTTTTTAAGAATGGGTTCCACGCAATAAATATTTTGGTAAAATTTTTATTTTATATTTAGAAATATATGTGAATAATAAGTATAATATTAAAACTTATATCTTTTCATTAATTAATATAAATTAAAAATTTTGTATAAACTGTCCAAAAAAAAAAAAAAAACTCTATATTATATTAATCTTTATTTCATATAAACCTATATTATATTGATCTCACATTTTTTAAGTTTTGTTGTATGTTACTCAGTCGTTCAAATTTATCAACTAATTCTCTAGAATTAAATTACAAATTCTAAATTTTACTAAAAATATTTACTCAAAGATCTTTCTATAGTAACAAATGTGCCAGTGATTTGAGTCATGTAATCATCATTTAAGACTGAAATTAAGTATTTTTTATATTCGTTGGAGTTGGCACTGAACACCAAATATCTGGTATTTTTTTTATATTTGTTGGAGTTAGTACTGAACACCCGATATCTAGTACTAAAACACCATTTATTGAGTACTATATAACTCTAGGGCTGGTACTAATTTCACAAATGTTGACCAATTTTTTGTTGACCAAAGTAGGCAGTAATTGATAAAACACAGGTACTATGTTCTATGTAGCAGAATTATTGGTACTATTTGTTGTAAACCTAGTACCATTTTAGGTAGTCTGGTACCATTTTAGGTAGTTCATATAAATTTATGTACAACAACACTTTCTTATTTTATTTCATCAATTAGCTCAGCTAACAAATAACTGTTACATATATACCATTCATTCATTTACAAACACATATCTAACAAAAATAAAAATCATTCCATACCGAACACCTACAAACCTCTAAAAACCTTCAAAATGAAAAAAAAA